TTATTTGAGGAAAAATATTGTTTTGGGGGTTAATCATAAAATTTTAAAAAGTTGAGGGGCTAAAAAGAAAGGAAATTTGGATAAGGATCAAGGCTAATATTTTTGTCCTCAGCCACGTGCTTTGCTTTTCTTCATCTTCATTTTTCTTCTCCTCGATGCTTTGCCTCCCCGACCAGCCCCCCCCCAAGCCACCGACTCTCTTCCTCCTTGAAAACCTGGTGAGATCTTGATGAAATTTCTCCTTCTTTCTTGCTTAATCACAAGATTTGGGGCTTAGAATTCTCTCTCTCTACCCAGAAATCCCGGATCTGCTCTGTTCTTCTCCCTTGTCCGTCGGGTTCTGCTGGGTTTGAATCCTTCGGTTTTTCTGGTAAGATTCAGCCAAGAGTTCATCTCTTTAGCTTTGAATTTGGCTTGGGATTACCTTGAATTGTGTTTTGGTTTTTGGATTGGGTAGCTGCGAGTTCCCCTGCAGAATTTCTTCTTCTCTGCCGTCGGCTTCTTCCCCCCCTGCTAGGCTCGGTTTTTGGCTGCTAAATTCTGGTATGGACAGCTCCTCTAAGCCTAAAATTACCCATTTAATTGGTTGGTTTTGTCCATTAAGTGCTGCCCTGTGCTTGCCGAATTTTGCTAAAATGGGGGAGGAATTCCGGTAGCATTTAAATGTGTTTTGTGCTTGGTTTATGTAGGAATTTTGTTAATTGGGCTGTTGTGATGTTGTGTAGGAGTAATCCCGTGACTTAGCCATTCTTGGCCAAAGCCGTGGGTCTCCATTGCTTGTCCAGGAAATTGGAATGAATTTTGGTAGCTTTAAGCTATGTTTTTAAGTGTGGTTTAAGTAGGAAATTAGCTTGAATTGGGTTGTTGTGATTTTGGAGAAAAATCCCGTGAATTAGCTAGTGTTTTGGCCAATTTTGGAAGTGAAGTTACTGTTCACGATACTGTTCACGGGACTGTTTACTGGTACTGTTCACGGGCACTGTTCACACACCGAGGGTCAATAATTAACGGGGATTTAAATGATTAGTTTGTGATATAAGAATAAATTTGGAGATGTCCGGTTATGTGGAGATTGATAGAAATAGCACTGTGATTAGGGGTAGTGCTAATGATGATTTCAGTTTAAATTTGTGATAGTCCAGTATTAATTCTGAGGTATTTTGATTAGGCTCCCGATCGTTCTGTCAGTTAGCACTGAGATTGAGTGCTTGGTTTTATGCGAGTGAGGTAAGTAAATTATGGTAAAATCCTTCGATTTCAAAGCATGTTTTAAACTGTTTTTGAGATGGTGGCAAGGTTTAAATTGATTTTAAATTGATTTTATCAGCATCTGAATGTGATTAAACTGAAATGGAAATTGTGATGATTTTCATGAGAATTTCCTTGTTTTTCTGAAATTGAGCATCATTGGGATGAAAATGAGGATTTTATTGATTTTCTGGAAATGAGCATGATTGAGAAATGAAAATGAGAATTTCATTGTTTTTCTGGAATAGAGCATGCCTATTTGGGAATTGACTGAACTGCTTTGATGAACTGAGAATTTTGTAAATGTTGAGTTTTCTGTTAAATCCATGCCTGCATGGAAACTTTCCGGTTTGTTCTGAAATTCGGGATTGATTGTGAAATTTGGGTTTTTCTGTAAATCCTGCATGGTTTTGTCTCGGATATAGTTATGATTATTGATGATCCCGCTAGTGGGGGTTAAACGCTAGCAAATGTCAGCGCATGTCGATATGTTATTGATGATCTTGCTAGTGGGGGTTAAACGCTAGCACATGTCGGCTGATGTCGATATGTTATTGATAGAACCGATTCGTTTCTGTAACCCTGCTAGTGGGGGTTAAACACTAGTAAATTTCTGTCGCCTACCAGTGGGTTGTTATAACACTGGTCATGACTTATAGATGAGACTATTGAACTGAGTTTTCTTCTGCATTAACAGTTTGTCAGGAAACGTTTTGTTATTGAACTGAATCTGATTTTGCATTGACGGTTTTGTCATTGAACGTTTTGCTATTGAATCGAATTTGATTTCCGCATTAACGGTTTATCAGTGAAAGTTTTGCTATGCTTACATGGTTTATCTGGCATGCTTAAAAGTTTTACCCAAGGGCTATCCATATTTACTTATCGAGTTATCTCATAGTTTTTCCTTGTCCACCATTTCAGGAAACGAAATCGAGGACGGGGAAACCAAGGGGAGTGACGAGTTAGAAGGCTAGCTATCGTGTAAATTGAATATGGATTTTAGATATAAATGATGATCTTGTAAGCGAGATTTTAATTGGAGATTGTAAATTCATTTAGTGGATTGTTAGTTTATAAGAGATCTGATTTGGAGATTTTGAGGTTAAGTCATGTGGACATAGAAAAGAAATTTTGAAATATCCGATCTGAGTTATGGGATTGTCAGATGTGAATTAGATAAGTTTTGAGCCTTGTGCACTTGCAGGACCCATCTCACGAGTGCACGGCGTCTGCCATGTCCCCGGATTTGGGTTCTGGGGCGTGACATATGCATTAAACTCTTTAATTAACGAAAAATATATTGTTTAAAGTTGAGACTTTAATTAGTTTTTAAAGTCGAAATTGATATACACTATTCTCTAATTATATAATGACATACCCAAATTCGAGATTAATAGGAAAGCTTGTATTGTAAAAAAATAGTAAAAAAAATATTTAAAACATAGATTGTGTTTACACCTAAAATAAACCAATAGGGTAAGGCCACATATCAAGGTAAAGCTCAATTATCAAGAAAATCAATGGGCTGGATTTGGGCTGGGTTAGCTTACAATTTAACGGCCCAGACGGATTTCCAAGGAGGTTGGATCCTAGGTGGCAGAAGATAAGATGGAATATGGTAGTTTAGGTTTGATTTAAAATGGAAATTGAGGATTTTTAGGTAGTTATCCTTAAGGTTGTTGGAGATAAGGTTAAATAAAAGTTGGATAACTGTCAAAGTAACTGCCAAATCTGCAACCCCACTACCAGATCATGGAGGAACAGTACCGGAAATCATGGAGGGAGGGTGACAGCACTGAAGCAAAGAAAAAGCAAAAGTGGAGATCAGTTACAGGCCTGCCCAACACACACACAGACTGCCCAGAGCATGTTTTTCAGCTTTCAGACTACATTTTCCAGATTTCAGCAATAGTTTCCAGATTTCCCAGACTTTCCCAGACTTTCCAGATTAGTTCATAACCTTAGTCTAGGTTTGTTCATCTTTGTTCATATTTCCTTCCGCAAATTCCAGTTTAGATTTATTTTTAAGTATTTGGAAGCAACTTAGCCCTCAAAACAGGTCTGCCCTTTTGATCCGGTTAGTTCTTCTTCCTTTTATGGATTTAGTTATGTTATTTGTTCATGTAAATAGGATGAACATTTTCTACCTTTGTTCTTTTGTTTCTGCATAATATCCAGACATGCAGTTTGTTTCAT